GTGTAAAAAAACTGAAAATGATATCTGTCGGAGACCTACCAAATTACCAAGTTTTATCATTACTATATTTATTACAATGCAAGTACTTTAGTGATACATTTTTTAGAGGAGAGGGCATACACACAAGTATATTGCTTCCGTGTGTGAATGCAGGTTGTACTTGGTAGCTCAGTTCTCAGTTTCATACCGGTTGTATAACTGAATTTGTATATGGAACCATGCGTACAGCATGACAATTACTTGCCATTCGTCAGTTTACAACACACATAACACGGTCAAACAATTTTAGGCACCGCTTTTGCGAATTATTTAGTACAATAATGTTTTATTAAAATCTATTTCAATTTGTTTTCACCATTTTCCCTATTGACAGTCGTTGTTACGTGCGTCACTAGGTAATTAGTACGGATTGACCTTGTTTATTGTTTCTATACTTTGAGGATTTCTGTGGCAAGTGGCGGACGTAATTCAAACTTCCGCACTGACACCGCATCAAATATATTTGTGTACCGATTACATAACTCTAATGGACAGGGTGGCGTGGTAGTTCACCGGACGACACTGTGTATATTGGGCGGCTCCTTTGATATCTCCTCCAAACATACGGTTATTGAATGACCCCATTAAACGATGATACACATCTCGATGAATATATCAAGGCACTAATTCATCTTTCATAAACATTTTTTTGTCTTTGTGCTTAATATATCCACATATCAACGAACATTTGTAAAACATGTATCCTAAAAAAAAAAAACATTTTCAGGCTAGGTATTTGCCCACAGCAACACCTGCATAACTGTTTATTCACGCGTGGTGTGGCAGATTGTACTTGACCGACAACAAGTATTGTAGAATCACCTGTAAATAAGGCCGACACTGTAATTAGATACAACGTACTAATGAGAATTATCATAAGAAGGCTGTTGTTTTTTCTGAACTGTTACCATTTTCATACCAAAAGTGACAATGCAGTTAAAAGTTGCTTTAGTGTCACAATATTCACTCACGTTTTCCTCAATCGCATTGAAACATAATTCCCACTGGTCAGTTCGAAACCGCATGTAATTAAATAATTATTTGGAGATTTCGTTAGAATGTAAGATATTCAGCCAAACGTTATGCAATAAAAGACGAATAGTTTTTTTCATTAAAATACGCGCACGCGTACCTGTATATTGCATACCTAGTGTCACGTAATTTCCCAGTGTGATGTATCAACGGGATATAAAATGGGAAATGAAATAGAAACTAACTAAAATTTAATGTTGTGGAAAATAACTCCAATGAATTGGAGTACACGCAAATGAATTCGTATGATAAACTGTCAAAACGTTTTGAGAGGTAAGGCCGGGGTCATTAAAGATCGCTACAATATGTAAAACAGGTGAAATTTGTAGAACTAAAGGAAACATCCAACCAAATGCCCTTTTTAAATAGTAATGTAATGTTATAATATAAAGTATATTTCACATGATACAATATACTTTGCAAACAGTTAGTTGATGCTTGAAAGGGACTGACGAAAACATGGGCGAAATATTTTAATAACGCCGTAAAATAGTTGAATTAAGTAAAAATTAGTTCAATTTTGTGTCATGATACTTGAATAAATACATTTAATGTATTTGCGAAACAAAATCTTGAGTTTGAAGTACAGGAACATATTCTCGCCCATGGGCCTGCCCATGGGCCTACCCATGGGCCAAACCTTTTTCTCGCCCATGGGCGAAATATTTCAATATCGCTATAAAATCGTTGAATTAAGTTAAAATTAGTTAAATTTTGTGTCATGATACTTGAATGAATACATTAAATGTATTTGCGAAACAAAAACATGAGTTTTAAGTAAAGGAACATATTCTCGCCCATGGGCCTGCCCATAGGCCTACCCATGGGCAAAACCTTTTTCTCGCCCATGGGCGAAATATTTCAATATCGCTATAAAATCGTTGAATTAAGTTAAAATTAGTTAAATTTTGTGTCATGATACTTGAATGAATACATTAAATGTATTTGCGAAACAAAAACATGAGTTTTAAGTAAAGGAACATATTCTCGCCCATGGGCCTGCCCATGGGCCTACCCATGGGCCAAACCTTTTTTCTCGCCCATGGGCGAAATATTTCAATATCGCTATAAAATCGTTGAATTAAGTTAAAATTAGTTAAATTTTGTGTCATGATACTTGAATGAATACATTTAATGTATTTGCGTAACAAAAACATGAGTTTTAAGTAAAGGAACATATTCTCGCCCATGGGCCTGCCCATGGGCCTACCCATGGGCCAAACCTTTTTTCTCGCCCATGGGCGAAATATTTCAATATCGCTATAAAATCGTTGAATTAAGTTAAAATTAGTTAAATTTTGTGTCATGATACTTGAATGAATACATTAAATGTATTTGCGAAACAAAAACATGAGTTTTAAGTAAAGGAACATATTCTCGCCCATGGGCCAAACCTTTTTCTCGCCCATGGGCGAAATATTTCAATATCGCTATAAAATAGTTGAATTAAGTTAAAATGAGTTAAATTTTGTGTCATGATACTTCAATAAATACATTTAATGTATTTGCGAAACAAAATCATGAGTTTTAAGTAAAGGAACATATTCTCGCCCATGGGCCAGACTTCGCCCATGGGCCTACCCATGGGCCAGACTTCGCCCATGGGCAGGCCCATGGGCGACATAGTCTAAATATTGAGTTTTTAAACAATTTTTTTTTCATTTTTTCTTCCTTGGTATGTTCCCATGAAAACGGCATGTTTAATTTTGTAAATACCTTTAACCGAGACTGGGCAAAGACCGTAGAGTTTCTGGACTTTTGGGTTTCCAGAATTAAAATGGGACGTGTTTAAAGTTATACCACTCAACATTTGCTCACGACCACACCTGTAACAAAAGCTGACTATTTTAGCCTTAGCAAGTGTTGAGTAGTATTCAAGATTTATCATTAAATATGATGAAAATATTTAATCTGGCCGAGCACATAAATCCGAGTGGTAATGGATGCCTAAATGAATACCTAGATCATGTTAAGACAGTAATCCCAGAGACCCTCTTAGTAACAGATATGTAACACTTGTATCCATAATATCGAAGATATGCTGATGCTATCAACCGTTGATTGTTCAAATACTTAGATATGGAAGATATAACAAAATGGAGTCAGGAAAGGAAGATCATACCTCGTCCACTCGTACAGCATCCACACCAATGCCGAGAACCGAACGAATACCAAAAATACTACGTTTGCTTAATGTGTTGCTGACATCCGAAAGGCGTCCGTGAGTAGAAACCTGGTGTGGTTTAGACTTGTATAAAAGGAGATACTAGTTATGATAACGTGTCTTGTTCAATGGAATGTAACTACTTACAGGCCAGTAAGGGTGTATCTTGCTCTTTTCACTATATACATAATGACTTGGCTATGCAACTGAAGTACACTAATTGTGGAATACAAACTGATACAGCTTCCAACGCTTACATGATATCTTACATAAATGCCAAGAAAGACGGAGGAATATATCACAATGTGAACAGACTTTTATGTTGCGATAACCTTAGGTTAAGGATGACTGGCTGTAAAAGGGATTTCTGCTGCACAAGTAATATTTATGTAGAGATTGGCAGTACAAGGGTTTTACTAGTCTCTATGACAGTCTTGTACAACCAGTTCTAACCTACGGTTCAGACATATGGGGTGCCCACAATTATAAGGAGATATTTAGAGCCTGTTGAGGTTTCCTGGGCGTTTCCAGATATGCACATGGTGTCGCCGTCAGAGGAGATATGATCTTGTTACATCCCCATTATGAGGTGACCACAATGACATTATGGCCTTGGTACAGACTTCAGAGAATGTCATACAAGACTCATACCAATAATCCATTATTGGTTCAAACGTTCATGGGAAAATAAAGTTTTAAGAGTGTTGTTTTTTATTACGGATATTCGTGACGTGAAGATAAGTCATCAGGATTAATTTTGAACCAAATTCCTGTAAGCCTCAAGGAAAAAGATTGAAATGCTAGGTATGAAATAATCCAGTCGATGCCCAAATTAAGAACGCACAGAAGCTTTTTATTTTGTCTTTTGATACAGAACCTTATCTTATGCTATCCCATTATAATTTAAATTATTTAATGTGTGACTCAAAAATGCTATTACGAATAGAAACGGGTATTGCATTCCACGAAATGAAAGATTGTGTATATTTTGTTTGAACTGTATTGAAGATGAAAAAACATTTTCTTCTACAATGTTCATTATATGATGATATTTGCGATCGTTTCCCTGATTTACCAAATATGTTTTTTAATAATCCAGCTTGTTCAATAACACCCAAGATGTTAAAATAAAATTATGAACACAAACTGATGTCATTTTTGGAAACTTTGGGTTAAAAAATGTTCTTGTCGTAAACGTACAAAAACAGTTTAATACCAGGTATATATTTTAGATGTATGTATATATTTGTTAGAGAGGCGACTAACGGGATCGGGTGGTCAGGCTCGCTGACTTGGTTGATGCATGTGATTGTATCCCAGTTGCGTAGAACGATGTTCATGATATCAGTGACTGGTTTGTCTGGTCCAGACGCGATGATTTACAGACCGTAAAGCTGGAATATTGCTGTGTGCGGCGTTAAACAACAGACAAACAAACTAAACACTTCATATAATATACCACAATGCTTTTACTAGATATCGCATTTTGTGTATGCCACTTGAATAACCAAATCATTCATTCATTCATTCATTCACAAATATTTCAACATTACATATCAAAATTAATGAAACATATGGATAGTCTTTAGGTACAGACCATTTCCTATGTTGGAAAATATATGCGTTGTCGGTAAAAGCAAAATATTTCTCACCTTCATTGAAAAAGAAAATTGCTGTCTTGAAAAAGTGACAGAAGAAAAACATCAGTGATTCCATTTCTTATTGACATATGTAGGAGATATAACGAACAATGCAAGTTGACAAATGTTTATAACATGACGCCAAATTCCGCGATGACAATACAAATGCTTATTTGAATTGATCCTGCAACGACCTTGTCACCAGAATAATCTCTCACTTTCCCTGCAGTGTCATTAGGTGAACTAAGAGGCTCCTCATCCATCTGATCATGAGTCTGTACTGTCTTCCAACAACAAAATGGCAATACCGTGAACACTGGTGTGATACCAGCTACATGTAACATGTAACTGACTAAAACTTAGTTGATTAAACGTAAAAAATAATCAGCATATCTATATTTCAAAGTATGATTAAAAATAAGTGTTTTAAGCAATATGATTCAACATGCCTTTTCTTGTAATGTACTACAGTAAACTACGTTTTATAACGGACACGCTTACAACGAACTGACGTTTATAAAGCATATAAATAACATATTTTTTTATCCCGACAATTTGCTGTTCAAACATGTATATATGCTTAAAGCGAACTACGTTTACATCGAACTAAACTCTGTGGTCCCTTTGAGTTCGTTATAACCGTAGTGTACTGTTCTTTGAAAATTCATCTGATGATAACCAGAAATGTCGAAAATATAAAGGGAGTACTTATATGCTCACTGCAATGGTCCAGCAAATGCATAATCATCAGAACGACATCTAACTTTCCCAGTATATGAACTCAGAGTTTCAGAGCTAGCGTGTTGTTACGGGAAAATGGTCATAGTCGTCTTCAGCAGTCTTTTCCTCAATCTTTCCTAACTGTGCTACTGCCTTGTTTGCAGAAACGGTAGTGTCGTAGTCATTCTGGACTGTTTTGGTGCGTGCTGCCTCCTGGAGAAGATTATAGCCATAGTCGTCTTCCCGTAAATGTGTCCCACTGCCTGCTGATCGGGCAACCGATGCTGTTGTATCATAGTTACTGGTCAGGACAGGTGGTTTGTCTCCGATGTGATCATAATCGTCTTCAGTGGCAGAAGAAGAAGGATTCGGTGTTGTATTTGGTTTAGTGATTGGATCGATTGTGAAATAATTGTTCATATTTGGTGAAGCCGCTATACCATCAGCAGTAGCATAATCATAATCACTCATATCTCCACGTGTCTTCAGGTTCTCTATCTCCTGGTAATGGCTCTGTGACATATTACAGGGAATGCTGGGAGCCTTTTGATCACTACAATTGGTTGACTTCTGTTCATTTTTACCTGTATTGTCTCTCCTGAAATGTTGAATGAGAACATTAGGTCAATTAGAGAAATGAAAGTGTAGCAAAATATATCATTCAAAGTGCCTGTGTAATCACCTCAGGTTTCATTTGAATTGCGCATAAAACAGGATTCAAGTGGCTGCATTCATGTATCGAAAGTTACTCGGTGTTTAAGATATGATAAATCACGTTGTTACATGTAAGAAGCATCTGTTTTTCAAAACAGTTCATGGTAAATATTCAACATAGTTTGAGTAAATATTTATCCATGCTATTCCTGTACGGTCAATGAAAAGGCTTATTATTTAGAAGCTCGTAGATGAATATGTTCTAGAATCATTTTGAAATATCAATTACTATTACACGTGGCTGCTGAAAATGTATACGCGTGATCCTTACCGTTTTCGTAAATACCACACTGTGACTAATACTATAAGCAGCACAGCCAGGACAGAGGCCACAACTCCTCCAACGGCTGCACCAACACTACCAGTTGCAGCAACAGCTCCATCGGTTTCATTCAGTCCTTCACCAAAATATCATAATACATTCATATTTTTCCTAAATATGTTTAGTTAAAGTATATACTTTGAATACATAAACTAATAAAATAACAAACGCCGACTGAAATTGACCGATTTTTGAAACTTCTTCCTGCTTCCACGTGCACTCTACGAACACATTTGGTATGGAACTGAGCATGCGTGTCTGTTAAGTACACAGTACTTAAGTTCAGAATCACGCGAGTACTTTAGTTCAGAATCACGCGGTTGTTAAGGTTTTAATGCATGGATAGAAAGCACTATTATTGTAACGTTCAGTGGACATATCACTTTTGTTCACAAAATCTCATTTGATCGCGAAAGGATAAATGGGACCATTGGTGAGCTACTCGAGCCAATCCGTGTCAATCCGAATTAAGACCCCCCCCCCCTCCCCCCCCACACACACACACACCTCAAAGATTCCGTAATGAAGAAATCATATGTAATGTATATAAATGAATGAATATATAGAGCATTTAGTACACAAGCCAAAAGACATACCCCTTACGCAAGTCAGATCTACGAATTCCGTTAAAAATATAAATGACCTGAGAAAATACCACCTTCTCTTCTTTCAATAGGGTCTGTTAGAAACATACATATCTTGGTTCGCCCCTGTTAGTGGGCAGATTTTTAGACGATTATATCTTCTGGCGCGTACACGCTCCAGTCGCTTGCAACGTTTGCTTATTAACACTGTTGGAATAACACAGACAAGGGTGTTAATTCAAGCATTGGTATTGTTCACCAAGGTTTCTGCATGCCATCTTCTAATCTTGAATATTTAGCTTGTTTTGCAAACACTATACTGTAAATTTTGTATAGATATACGGATTTATAATGTCAAATGAAACACGTGTTTCAACATTGCCAAAACCGTCTATCATATGCTATCTCGCATTCGTACATTAATGCATTATTGATGGAATAATGACAAGTGCCTCACATTAGATGAATTCCATACATTTAAACAAATATTTTAAATTTCAATTTGAAGAAAGGTATTGTTTCATACTGCGTATGTTCATAAATCTCGGGCCGTGTACATTTGCATAATTATGTTTAACCTGTTTTAAATATTACATCTGTACTTAAGTAAATTATCCGTCTGTTTTTCTGCCAAAATTTCAGCTTAAAACAACAAAATGGTTCAGTACAAAGCTTATCCCATGCCGCAGTTGGCAAGCACCTCTCATCACAGAAGGAAACAATATAGAGCTACCAGTCCTTTGACTTAATAATACTATTTTAACTGACATAAATTTGACCAGAAATGAGCTTCAGTATGTCCTATTATCAGCTGACACAACCAAAGCTTAGTAGTAAACTTTTAGAATTCATGGCACTTTCCATATGTGATCCTCTTACCAAAGTTTACAATTTTTCCTCACGTACCTCTGTTTTTCTATTCATATGGAAAGAGGCTTCAATCATACCTATTCATAAAAAGGCAGTGTGAACGAATGTTCAAATTAGAGACCATGGCCAGTTGCTCTGACAAGTTGCTCAGCAAAAGTATTTGTAAGATGTGTGTTTAAATACGTATTTAATTTCTTTAGAGATAACAATATTCTGAATAATTTGCAATCGGGATTTATGCCTGGTGATTGCACAACTTTTCAGTTAACGTATCTTTATGATTAGCAAAAACAATCGATAATGGTAAAGAAGTAAGAGCTGTATTTTGCAATGTTAGAAAAGCTTTTGATAAGGTATGGCATAAGAGCATTGTGGAATCCGCGGACACGTATTAAAATAGTTTAATATAGTTACCTTGAAGATAGAATACAGAGAGTTGTTATTCAAGGTAGTATATAGTATATCTAACTTGAAACCTGTAATGGCTGGAGTCCTACAGAGGTCAGTTTTGGGGCCACTGCTATATCTTGTATACATTAATGATATCGTTATAGGCAATAAGATGTAGAATGGAATGCTATGTAAAGCATATCGGATACCATTAATCATTGGAATACGTTACCTGATAGAAGAACTTAATTAGTCTCAGTTGCAATGCGATGTGTGGGAATTATTCAAGTAAGTTTGCAGGCTTTATCCTATTAAAACATTCAACGTGACTCCCATCAGGAACATCGAAATACATTTTGTATATAGCCATGAACGTTTAACTTAATTTCCTCTCATTATTGATATTAAATTGTTCTTTAATCATATATAACATGAGTGAGTGTGTATGGTTTTACGCCGCTCTTAGCAATATTCCAGCAATATCACGGCGGGGGACACCAGTACCCATGTCGGGAAACGAACCCGGGTCTTCGGCGTGACGAGCTAACGCTTTAACCACTAGGCTACCCGACCGCCCCATATATAACATAAACAGTTTTGTGATTGTTACTGGGGGCATTATTATTTTGCAATCCATCATGACCTCGAACACTGCAGACTGGACAAAATGACTTTGGTTACCATAAAGCATGGTGGGCCTGTCAATTACATATATAGACAGCTATGTGGATGTCTACAGGGAGAGTATATGTTTGTTGAGAAATCATTAAACAGAGCGTGCTCTATTTTGTTGTTGTTGCAGACGCATGATTTACTGAGTACATTTTAGAGGATATGTATATATTGAAATACATATAGCCTGTACGTTTCGGATTTGTTGAAGAATTTGACGGTTTGATCTGTAAAGTAAAGGTCGAAACATCAGACAATGATGCATTTTGCACTGTTTGTTTGTTGTTCGATGTTTAACGCCGCACTCAGCCACATGACGGCGGTCTGCAAAAATTCGAATCTAGACCATACAATCTAGTGATTGACACCATGAGCACCGTTCTACAACCCGATTCCGTTAGTCGCATCTTACGACAAGCATAGTCGCCTTTCACGGCAAGCATTGGTTGCTGTATTTTGTAACCCAGATCTTCACGGGTGATGCGCAAATGGGAGGCTCTGAAAAATTCTAAAATGTGAATCAAATATCAATCTTCTTTCAAAACACACTTACTTTCAATACAGTGATATTTGACAACAGAGAAATTGGGACCTTCGCCTCGCCGGGGAGCAGGATACGCACACCGAGGTTCTCTTGAACAGTTCTTGGAGAGGGGTGCCAGCTCGCTGCTGTTAAACCTCAAATATCCATGTTCTGTCACATGATCGGGGTTGTTTAGGCAACTTGCGATACCTGTCGGTCCACACTCTGTATTGTTAGTGAAGTATGCGTCACAGATGACGATGTTCCCGGTACTGTTACAGTTGATGTAATGTGTAGTACAGGGAAGTGTGTTGGCATGGGTTCCAAAGCATGCTTTGCTGGTTCGTGTTGTGTCTACACAAAAGACATGTCACAACAAACATGTATTAAAATATGACGTAGGATCAAAATTGCTTAAACCTAGCATACAGTGTTAAGATTATGCCGGAATAACACGCTGTTTTCGGGTATATATAATAAATTGAGATTACTACACGAGTGTCTGTCAGATACCATTGATCTTACAACGAGTTGTTTCAAAACGTATCGAACGTGCGAAGGCGAGTTGTATCTGACGGGCACGAGTGCAGTAATCTGTTTCTTACACACCCTAAAATCGAACCATTGTAGCATCGAATCGGTTTCTATTGAATTTACCACACCATTGTAATGTTTACATTTGAAATTCCATAATTAGTGCAAGGATATTCGTCCTAGAATATTCTCAAACGCGTGATCGAGCCAATGTATGCAACAATTAGACGAAAGTACCTCTAAAATGCTACACAGTGTAAAATCAGTGCAAGTACAGTTTTCCGAGCACTGTGTTCGTTTCCGCACCTAATTTATTTATCGTAATAAATAATAATTTGCATTGGTGACAAAGACCATTTGTCATTTGTTTCTAAAATGTATGAGGAATTCAGGTATGCATGTACAGCAGCTGAGTTTGAAATATATCTGATCGAATAGGCGTCTCATAACCGGCATTTTGTAAATACAATCCAATATGGCGGAACGTACACTTTGGCGTGCGTGTATGCGTATTTTCCAAAGCATTCTAAACGATTCTAGGCTTATCAGCGACGTTTCAGAATTATCATTAGTGATTTAATACCCGTGATCACTAATATGTTAGTTTCTACTTTAATTATTCGAGTAAATATCTGATATTTAGATTTTTAAACACACAGTAAATAACGCCGTGAATTGTGATTTGACGAGATTTACGATGTACCCAATTTTCAGAAGTCGCTTTCGTTAGTTCTGCTTTGTCTAAAAAGATAGTAAATGATAACCAGAAGAGGGAATTCAAAACTGTGATTTGTATTTGTGTGCCTGATGTATTTTGAATTTTATTCGATATCGAAGTGAGGTTTAAAGAGGAGGGACATATGTATCGCTGTGGCATCCAGGGAATTCACACTCTAAAAAAGGATAACGTTGACATAACAACAGATAATGTAACTGTAGCGGACGGGTTAGTTTATTATTATTATTATTATTATCATTATTATTATTATTATTATTATTATTATTATTATTATTATTATTATTATTATTATTATTTACACTGTCCCGTGGTTCAACACAGACGTAGGTGAACATTCGTCTGAAGCACGATCAACTTATCAATGACTTGCAATCAGAAAAGTAGTCCGTCATCATCTGACCTCAGGTCATCACCATGAAGTAGTCAATCACGGGACTGGAATTCGATCTCACACATATGTTTGATGCCAGTTATCTCAAATGTGTTTCTCACCCACAGGTGTGTAATTAAGAATTATTTAAGTTTAACCAACGCTTTGAAATCGTTCACACTTCCATGAACCCATCCAAACTGACGTTCAATTCTTATAATTTCAGACTTTGTATTTTACTGGTCTCGCCGAATAATATTGTAACAATGTTTTCTTAAATTTGAAGTTCTCTGGTTTCGCCGAAGAACATTACAACAATGTTACTTTATCGCTATTTGCCGGTGTGACATTGAAAATGGACCCGCGTTGAAAAGTGACCCAGGAGTCAGTATTCAACGTTGAAAACATACCCGGTCTCACTTTTCAACAGACCAGGGTCAAATTTCAACAGTTGAAAATTGACCCTGTCAGCTTACCAAGTCGTTAAATAGTGACCCGGGCCTCGCGTTGAAAAGTGACTCCGTTGAATTGTGACTTGTGGTTTATTCTGCTTACCAGAAGACACTTTATAGCATGTCTAAATTGGTGCAAATATTTATCAGTGTGTTCGGGATGAGGGTTGGAGGTGACACGCATTTATAGGCATGTGTTAACGTATACATATACAAATTGCCATGGTTCCTGGCTTTAGAAATGATCGTCACGATATGGCTGAAATATTTCCGATGTCCCGTAAAGCATTAACTCACTCACTCACTCACTCACTCACTCACTATAGAAATGTCCAAAAATGTGTGTGCATGTACAATGGTCCAGTGACTGCCTGTGCGTACGCTTGCTCGTATGTTATGTTTGTTTGATTGGGTTTTACGTGGCTTTGGGTAGTATTTCAACCATAACGCCACAGTGGTTACAATGAGGCTCCAGTCTTCGGGCTGAACGAAAGTGACCCGGTGGGTGCATGTGTGTTAGAGCAAGTATGTGGGTGCAGGGTAGTATTATATATGTATGTATGTGTGTGTGTGAGAGAGAGAGAGACACCTTCAATCTGGAAGCCGTAAATAGAAAGAGGCACACCGAAAGCGTTCTCAACCTAAAACGTCCCCACGCATAAAATGTTCATGGTGGTGTTAGGAATAGCGTTTAATGATTATATTTTCGAAGTGTTAACATGATGTCAAGTATATTTCAGTACAAGAATATATAAATGTTGTAATCTGAGGTCATTCTGATATAATTATATTGATGCAAATATATATTGCGTTGGCACGCAAGTTGGTATATTTTTATACAAACTTCAACCCCGTTTTATTTCAAAATATAAAATCCAAATTCACAAACGAATAAACAATATTGTGAGAAGTTAGTATCAATAAGATTAGTTAAAAAACACTCACATTAAAAGTACCATTCGCATTCGATGCGTGTTGGTCGTTTTCGGTCGAACTCAAAAGAAACCATTAATCTAATGCATGACAAAGGTCTGAAAGGACAGACTGCAAGTGTTACCAGCTACCAAAAGGACGTGCCCACAACATTGTAAGAACGTTACTTTGTTTAAGCAGCGTGACATTGTCGTAATATTGCTACACCGTATTAAAACAGCCAATAAGTCGAACGTTCCACAGACGTTGCATGGTTCCACAGGAACGTTCTCGTGACTTAACTGGGGGTCTACATAGTAACCAAATAGTAACCTACGAATGCAACGTTGCCTGGACCCCCTGTGTTAACTGGGTTATTAGCATCTCTGTTGGAAGGGTGGATCACATCATCATCAGGATTAGGAATAACAACGGTTTATGCAAGGCGGGTAAAGCAAATCAGAAATGCATAGTTTTGTATTATAAACCCTAGTAGTTTATGATCACATATGTTACATTGACCACTACCATCATTTACAACGTGAAACAAAACTGCAGACCAAGCGATGGCGGCACCAGACTCGCCAACAGCAAAATACCAAGTTTGGTTTCAAAAGATTAAACTTTTTTACTATTTCTGAAAAGGTCAAACATTCAAAAGATCACACAAAGGTAAGGATCAAAGACACATCTGCATACTATAAGCATTTCAAGATAAGAAAGCTGAAAACCTGACCAAAAGGGCAATGTTCTATTAAGTCAGTGAACTGTTTCCGTATGGGTGTGGCAATGAAGGCAAATCTTCGAAGAAACACAAAATCAAAGCGATTGAACTCGTTTAAGAAATTTACAATGATGTTACACTTTACACAATTCCCATAAAATACTGTTTTAATTGTGGAAAGTGGTGTGCGCAATGAAATGAAAAGAAACAAAACCAGCACTATTTAAGAAACTTCAGTAAATTGTAGTAACATCCGTGAATTTTGCCGAATTTCAAAAATGCACAATGAATTTTGGAAATGTGGACGTTATCAAATGCTTTGAGCCTAAAACGCTTGTAATAAGAAGATAACGACGAGCATTCTCTATCACATTAAGCGACTCTATACAATACAATGGAGAATACCCCAATACTGGTACCTGTTCTAGATTGTCTAACAAGACAACGCACCAGTACACGGCGGCTGGGTTGTGATGGATGCTTTTCGAGAACGTGGGTTCGACCTGTGACCTACAGATCTAGCCCCCAGTGATTTTCACTTGTCCCCTCAATTGAAAAAGCACCTGTGGGGTTGAAGATTTGAGGACGGCAACAATTGACTGCTTGACTTCTCTATATCGGACATAAATGATTGGAAAACCATATGGAACATGTGAGTGAAACTGGAAGGGGACTATGTTGAAATATATTTGTAAGTTTAACCAGAATTTCAACATTAAGTGAGTGAGGCTCAAAACGTTTTTATATCCGCTCGTAAAAGTACTATGTTTATTAATTAAATCTTAACAAAAATGAAGATTGAAATGTAGCTTGGTTTTTGGTTGTATAGTTTTGGCAAGTAATTCTTGAATCTGGATTTTCCCCGTTTTAATAAAACATTAAACGCCACCACCCTTTCCTCTACCGCACTCAAAAAGACATACTTGTACCGAAAACAACTGATGCAAGCTGGCAGATACGCATTCAGAAACACCCGGATAGAGACACTAAAAAGATTTAATCGATGGTAACATTAGATCTTTTTATTTACACTAGAAGTCACAATTCAACGGAGTCACTTTTCAACGCGTGGCCCGGGTCACTATTTAACGACTTGGTAAGCTGACAGGGTCAATTTTCAACTGTTGAAAACTGACCCTTGTCTGTTGAAAAGTGAGACCGGGTATGTTTTCAACGTTGAATACTGACTCCTGGGTCAATTTTCAACGCGGGTCCATTTTCAATGTCACACCGGCTCTCGGTCACATACGTTTCCCCACTCATACTCAGTTACGCAAAGAAAAATAGTTCTTTGAATATATACAGCATAATCTAGAAATATGTCAACATAGTTTCACTCTCTGAACAAATTCACAAACAATATTTGGGATAAATCAAATCTTAAAAATAGGTTACAGGAAGTTGAACAAAAATATAAACATGACCTCGATGCACCGACCGAGGCGAGGTCAATTTTCAAGCGCGGATTTATACATGACGTCACATAAGTTTGTAAAGAGGTGTATTTCGAGTCGAACGGGAGCATGATACTTACTGCTGTTGAAAATGACGTTCGTGGAGCAGTTATGGAAAACACCCCGACGCGTGAACCCTCTCATGGCACTAGCAAATTGGGAATATGACCGATTTATGAATGTGTTGCTTCTGTTTGGATAATCGCAAACCTATTCGGACGATGCGGAATGGACTGGTGAGGGTTGAACCGAGTGCTCTGAAACTTGTGTGTTTTGTGATAATTTTCAACGTCAGGGTATGTTATATTTGGAGTTTGGGATTTGTCGCGTGTGCTGTAATACTTTGCTTAGCTGGCGTTTATTGTCACCTGAGATGGACCTACTGTATGACCTGATACCAGTTTCATTTCTGTGCCCCGTCATTCCTCCTGTGACGCCGCTTCTCGGCCTAGAATGCACGGAGAAGGTCGGCCAACTCGGAAACCGGAATAGTAGATTTATAATTCCGTCTACGGATATTTTCTCGACTCCGATGACCAATCGATAAAACAGGTAGGCAAGTTTTGGGGGTTTTTTAAATGTAAATTTCTTTCCTTACCTTTTTATGTTTTATGGTTTCTCAAAATCGCGTCGCGTTTGCTCTGTCAGCGGCCACATCTGAGCAGGGTACGACATTGTTTTCATTGGTGCAAAATTCCTGTTATTTCCGAAATCAGGGCATCAAAGTCAGTATCGCTCAATAAATCAATTTTGTTTACCTCAGTAATTTTACAGAATTAATTTTCTTCACTTGCGTTATTAGTATTGAAAGATAACCATTCCATATCCAAATCATCGCAAGGACAATCCATTTTATTTCACGTAGCAGCTAGACGACATAAATCACCAGAACCAAAGCATTTATTTATTTATAAGTCAGATGAAACAGTACAAGACCAGGCAAAAATACTAAATTAATTATTTTGCTGATAAATGCAGGTATTAAAAAGAAAATAGAACAACGAGTTGATCGTAAACACCGATCGATAATTCGGGGAAACCCCGGAAAGTAGTTCTGGCAAAAGTTCACACGATAAATTTCACAAAAAATTGTTCACATCGTGTGAACTTTTTCTGTCCGTTCACAGGTGTGTGAACTCCACATATCAGATCACGTGACTACCCCTTCAGCCAATCAGCATAAAAGAAACAGTGTAAACTTCAAAGTATGAAATTATAAACACATGTACCTACCCAAATTAATATAGATTGGACACGTGTTTGAGTAGTGGATAGTACATAGTTGATATAGGTACAAAAGTACAAGTAGATCTTTGATGCTATAAAATATTAATGACGTTTTACGCAGCAGCCAGCAATATTAAAGCCAACGGCGAACTTTAAATCGAAACTAGACAAACCAGTTGTTTTCGGCAATGATTGACTTACCAAATACAAATCGAATAAGACCATTTTGATTATTTCCCATATTAACCCATAATCAGCCCTGGAGATACATGTAAGTAACATCGCTCACATGTTCACAAATGCAAGTTGAGACTGCAAGAGGGCGTGTAAGGTAATACTCAAGCGGATAATGTAATATGAGTGGTAATACTCAAACGGAACAAGGTCAGTTGATCATACCACCTTGTGTCAATCCATTAAATCCCCTTTGTAAATATAATACCATTAAAACCGACAATCGACTTAACCCAACAAAACACGCATGTTCGTTATGTGTGTATACCTTCCAACTTCTATTACCACAAGCGCTGGTGATTCATGGACACTGTCTACTTTAATATTACTTATCATGATCATGACGTAGGCAACATATCAAGAAATCACTCAAGTGGTGCTTAGAATATATGCACAAAGCTCCACGGGAGATGTATTATGCAGTGTGATGTCTGTTAGATTCCAAATGCATATATTACATATAACGAAGGGCCATACCATACATGTATATACTTGGATCATACCCACTTTCATTCTCACTAATGTCTCACCTACGTAAACTTCCCAAAGAATGCAACCCGAAATGACAATAAAACAATAAATAATTGATGATTGAGTGCGTTTACGCAGCTTTTAGCAATATTCCAGCAATATCGCGAAGGGGAACACCGGAAATTGGCTTCACACATTGTACACATGTGGGGCATGAAACCGGGCCTTCGGCGTGACGAGACGACGTTTTAATTACTAGGCTACCCCATCGCCTCCAATGATTCATGTTTGTAATGCAAGCATTTTAGTATACTAGGAAGTAACATATTGTGCCCTGCTATGTTAACTGTAATACACATCCTTGTTTAACACTGTCGCCCCGTTGATTACACATGCGACGGGAAGACCCACACTGAAGCGCTGCGGGTTTACAAAACAGTGTGACTTCAACGCTCTGTTTACTTGATGAGTTGCACACGTCGTATTATCCCGTGCACAAACAGTCATCCTTTAAAAATGCAGTCGGATCACTTTGACATTTAATTTTCGGCGGGAAGGCACTATTTGTCCTGGATGAGACACAAATAGCATCTATAACATTCAGTGTTGAGTATCTCGCGACATTCTACCTGTGACTTTACCTGCTTGTTTACCAGGCCATAGAAAACGTGTACAGGGTTTTGCAATGTTGGAATATATACATGTATGGCAGGGCATGGAGTAATTGAAAACCCCCAAGGTCTTGGTAATATTAATTGATATATCACAAGAACAAAAGAATCAAAACCATGTACCATTATTATTTCCAGAAGGTGTCCTCTGATAATGACGAAGGTATCATATTACAGTAAAAGATTTGACTTTAAAGGGAGTCAAAACGCAATCCTACATACAAGAAGCTAAGCTAATGATCAACGTGAACAGTGATGACACCAGGTACGTATGACCTACCCTACTGTAAGCACCGCCATGATATGTGCTCTTCACGTAATCATCAATAGTATAGATTTCGAATGTCCTGTTTGCCATGGTCACACTGTATTTCGCTTGGTTATATCCAGTATTAACGTGTAGTTATGCTTACCTGTATGAACTGTATGCAGAATGGAGAACAAACTGGCGATCAAACTCCACAAGTCCATTTTTATTTGTAGTGCGAGCATGTCAGTCTTCCACGTTCAGGTTATCAACCGGGAAGTAACTTCAGGACCCTGTGTGGTTGTACATCGTAAATCTATACGCACGGGGCTTGGCTAAAACATAATAGACTGGCGAAAACTGTACCACATAAGTGAAAAGGTGATCTACGCATAACCTTTCTCAGTCAGCACTCCCACGTTCTTGATTTCTGCATGCAATTTTTACTCCATATACTCATTGTCACTTCTTCCCATAATTTGTATGGTACTTTTATAATATGAAAAGAACCCCTCTCTCAATATCGGTTTCTAGGTTTGTCAGCACCATACCCGTGCTCGTGGGTTTCACCGAAGTGGTAAACGTCTGTGACCTGCATCACTCCGAGCTTTCCTCGCACATTAAGCTGCCACGCCGTGATGTAACTGGAATACTGTTAAAAGCGGCGTTAAACCCAACTCACTCACCCACTCACTCTCAATATCGACGTTGAATAAGAAGGTGTGCCTTATGTGCAATACAGGCCTGCAAGCTCCTTGAACAATTGAAACAACAGCAAATATTATCTTCTTCGTCTTTAGGCGACTTCAGTCCGGACTAGCACAGGCAGCCACACGAACACACGCACACACGCACACACACACACACACACACACACACACACACACACACACACACACACACACACACACACACACACACACACACACACACACACACACACACACACACACACACACACACACACACACACACACGTGCATTCACGTCGCTACATAAGTGCAATAAATGGACAAAGGAGTCGATGCATAGTCCAATTAAAATCGCGTATCGAAATCGACATCCGATTCGTAAGACTGCAGATTTCGATCGATTGGAGGATTCCAAAGCATGTGTACCGCCAACCCGCCAACGTGAACCGATTTTTTTAAAAATCTTTTCAATATTTCAATCAAGATGTTCATGTGATTTGAGGCACTTCGCGAAGTAAGACCCGTTTTATTACAACACAGATTTTGATTATAATCAATAAGATCGTATTTTGTTTGTAGCAAATGCACGTGATATGAGATGGAATCTGATTGGTCAATAGGAGGGATATAGAAGGGACATAGAAGGGTCATTACTCACAATTGCCACTGGTGGCGCTGCGATCGAGCCCAGAAATTACAGCCTAGTTCGAGAAAGGTGGAATATGGATTCAGATACTACCTTGCCCCGGGAAGATGGCATTTTGTATGTGCATCAGCAGTTCTCCAAATCCAGAGTTATCTCCCATATGCATTCTTCTTGCTCACACGCTGTTAAACGTTCTCCTGCTCTGCTGTCGTTGTCTCAGACTGTATGTGGCCTCGATTCCACTGCAAAGCCATTGAAACCAAACTTACATTAGTTATGAATCTGAATAGGTTTTATTCATTTCGCTGTGTTGATCTTTGCTTGTGTGGACCACTGATATAAAATTCAGTCCATTGTAAAATCTCGTGGAAATAATTGAATTAATTTTAAAAAATGGCAATAATGTCATCCTCTGACAGGTCAAATATGAGCATAACCTGCATCAGTTCCACAAAGCGATCTTAGCGATAAGGTGATCGTCGTAGCCCCACACGCTTTGTGGAAAAGGGCGCATGTCTGTGGAGTCATATATGAATCAGGAGATGGCGTGTCCATTTGAGTTTTGAACGTATAACCTGTGTGTCATGTTTTGATAAAAAACTTTATGACAGTTTGCTTCAACCAATGTTCAACCACCAATTGTTGCTTTTATTATTGAATCACTTAAGCACCAGACTTATGCTTCTTACCTGCTTTATTAAAAATCAACTGGACATTATTACTCGACCTAAAGCAGTGAGAACATACAACATACCTTGCAATTGTGTAGCAATAATAAAAATTAAAAAAAATATAAAAAATATAAAAAATAAAAATGATGATCATCATCATCATCATCATCATCATCATAATAATAATAATAATAATAATAATAATAATAATAATAATAATAATAATAATTATTATTATTTTTATTATTATTAACTCTATCTTACTGGTATAATTGTTTTGGACCTTTTCTTTATCCCCGTGACATACTCATTCAAGGCAGAGTACCTGCATTTTCCTTTTAATGTTGACAAAGACGGATCGTGTCCGACTGGCCCTGTGACTGGACCAAAACACTTTATGTAGACTGTCAACATCGAGCACCTGCATGTCACCGTTTGCAAGCACCGTTATAACAATTATGTCTAGATCTTGAGTCAACTTATAACACAATGCCATGTATCACTTCTGCAAACATTTCTCGTAAATGGTAGTAATGAAAGTTTCAAATTTAAAAACAACTACTCACAATACTGACTATCCAGTAGTGGGGTGTGTTCCGGAGCTGTGCTTCAGGGACCAAGGTGTCATCAAACAAGAATAAAGTAATCATGAAAACGTGGTAATAGATTCACATGTTTATTACTATAAGCAAATCAATACTCGACATTGAAACAGATCAAACATTGATCACTGATTAATAAAATCAGAGTAAACACGCAAGCTGATTAACTAAGCAACTGTACAAAAGTGATAAAAAGAGAACACAAGATAATGAAAAGATGCAAAGGCAGACAATTAAGTCGGCTGCGACCAATAAACAATTAATTAACCCAACATTCTAATGAGTAAATAACCTCGACAGTGTTAAATAGTGGGAAATAAACATAGAGGGCTGATCTCTAAAACAAGTCTCTTTGACAATGAAATAAACAATGTCCCCTGAATATCCAAATAGCCTTACAGACTAAAGCATCAACCACTTTGACTGGGAATGAAAATTCTAAATTTCCCAGATATATAATGGACTTGACCTAAGCTAGGCAATCACGGACAAGTTGGTTATGTACGGATTACTAGAAAAACGGAGTATGAAAACCCTAGCTAATAATAACTAGAGTAACTCAGTAAGTCATTAATAGATAAAGCCTGTCCCGTAATTATTAACGAACGAATCATGAGTTTGCAATGACCACCCAGTAGCATGACGACGCGTTCACGGTCAAGCGTCCCTGCTGCTGCTAATGGGGTTGGAAATTTAAAGAGCGCTTCCGGAAATTCCGATTTCGCTGCCAATAAGGACTCATGACTTTGACAAGGGTTTCGTCAGCGATGGGAAAAGCATTAGCCTGGTGGTCTTAACAAAGGGTGTTTCTCGACGTAGGAAAAAACCCGAATAGAAAACTAACAACTAAACCAATACGGAAGATGTAAGTTCCAAAATAAAGCGCTGAACATAAGCTATCCAACGGTACTACTGAAGATTTATAACCAGATACGTACTATTGAGGTGGCAAAATGACCATGAATACATGAGTATGTGAGTATGTTTTTTTTAAGCCGCTTATAGTAATATTCCAGCAATATCACGGCGGAGGACATCAGAAATGGGCTTCACACATTGTACCCATGTGGGAAATCACACCCGGATCGTCCGCGTGACGAGCGAACGCTTTATCCACTAGGCTACCCGATCGCCATACATGAGAAATATCTACAAATACTAGATAATAGTGCTAATTCGCGAAAATCAAAGTTACAAAAACACTTTCAATACATGAATAAGGTAGTAAACATATATGAAATAACATATATCAAATCAATACATGAAAAAGGTTTGCGTTTCTACAGCCAGAGAGTAATATCTGCGGACCACCAATTCTTAGTCAATGTACGTTAAGATACTGGATTACGGCGTCCGCCGGACTTTGCCGAATGGTGACGGACGACGGACGACTAAGAGCGAGGGAAACGGTGCGGTCTCCAGACCGTGCGTCTAGACCGGACATGTGAGATCTGTGTACGCCATTTTGAATCGGGGGGTCCAAGGTACCATTTCCATAACCTGCAGTGTACCCGCCAGGAAACAATATCCACCGTGCATCTTTACGAACCTGAGTGATGTAAACCTTCGCTGTATTCACTGAATAACTGCCGACAATCAGTAACATACTAGAAAGCGAAACTGGCGTAAGTTTTTGTCACTCATCGAAAGGCCAGTCACGTCTGATATGAATCAGAAACACCAAATCACCACATGTTATAACATCTTCTATCGATGTATCTATGGATGTATTTTTATCCGGGCTTAAGTCATATGAAAATATATAAGTGAATGAGTAGTATACGACGTTCTGGACGAAGCATGAAGAAGAACAGCTCGTCAAAACACATTCCTAAAAAAAATTGTGAGCGAAATCGCTAAAACGCAAAAATTGCGTGCACATCATGGAAAACGTGTTTTGTTTCACGGGAAGCATGCAGAATAGGGCTATAAAAGACAGACTTTTAAAAGCCACATTACTTGTTGCTGCAGACGTAAAGGGTCCTGACACAAGAAATGCCAAGATTAACAGCAGAGGAACGTGAACGTGCCGTGGGCATGCTTCCAGTTGGTACGTCAAGTAGAGTCGTTGCACAACGGTTTCAATGCCATCATTCAACAGTCCTCAGGCTACTGAGCAGATACCAGCAGACAAGAACCACCAGAGATCGACCACGTCCGGGTCAACGTCGTGTAACTACACCACGTCAGGATCGCCATATTGTTCGTCGGCATCTTCGTGATCGTACACTTCCGGCTACCAGGACTGCAGCAACCGTACAAGGCCGACGGAATTGATCAGTGCTGACACCGTACGTCGACGTCTCCGCTCAGCAGGGCTACGTCTTCGACGTCCATATGTTTGACCCATACTCACTGATCGACATCGAAATGAACGTCTGCGTTTGGCCAAAAGGCATCGTCATTGGAGATTGCGGCAGTGACATGGTGTGCTGTTCTCTGATGAGTCCCGCTTTCATTTAAGGAATGCTGACGGTCGACTGCGATTGTGGCGTCGACGTTGAGAACGTTACCACAATGACTGCGTTGTACAGACAGATCGATGGGGGTTAGGGAGTGTCATGGTGTGGGGCGGCATCAGTCATAACCATCGAACAGAGCTCCATGTTTGTCGTGGAAGAGTTAATGCCTTTACTACAGGAATAACATATTGGCAAATCACGTCATCCCATTCTTTCATCAGCACCAGGATATGCACACCTTCAAGCAAGATAATGCAAGAGCGCACACAGCACGTGTTTCAACACAGTACCTAGCGAACAATACTGTGCCTCTGCTTCCATGGCCAGCCCTGTCACCCGATCTATCGCC